TACCTATTTCGCTGTCTCTCTCTCTCTCTCTCTCCAATTATGCTGCTCTGATTTTCTTGCTGTTTTGTTTCCCCTTTCTTGTTGTTGGCTATGACAGCAACATTGGGTACTCGCTCCACTACTCCCCACTCTCTAGATTCTGAGAGTTTATCGTTGCTCCGCCAACTGTCCATATGGGCCCCCGAAATTCCCTTGGATAGCTGTAAGAGTGCACTCTTGAAATCCACTCTGCACCACCTGCAAACTTGTGCAAAGGTCATTACTTGGACAGTCCTTCTTGTAGCTCTATAATGAGCGCCCAAATTTGGACAGCGGGCCTGGAGTCTGGGCGGACAAATGGGATTTCTTTTCAGCTGTCTTTTTGTGCTCTTGACTTTTGAAGAGTCCTTCCATGGAGAATAAGTGGAGCGGTGATCGGTTTTTCGCCTTGTTGCAGAGCCTGACAGCTCTTCATGAAGTGTGACCCATGGGGCCTCGCTCCGCTACACAACACTCTGCATGCAATTGGATGCTTTCTTGACCAGGTGCATTCGGATGAGTCCAACATTTCTAACGTAGCAGGTACAGAAAGCGTCCAAATGCATATGCAGTCTTGTAGTGGAGCGAGACCCATGGTCTTCTTCTGGCTGTTGTAGTTTTGGTCAGTCCTTTGTCTACTACACGTGCTGTTTTGTCTTTTTCTCATCTTCTGGTGGATTTTGTGTGCTTTGGTATTGCGCTCTCCTCTTGCTCTTTGTCCTTCTTCTTTCCTCTGTGTTCTTTGCTTTTTTTTTTTTTTTTTTTGAATGGTCTCTCAGGCTCCACTTAGGGCCATTTGATTATCCAGATTTCCCAAGTGGAGCCCGAGATGTTCCACTTGGAACAAGTTGGGCCTTTTGAAGGGCCCACCAACCGGATCTGGTGATCAAGATGGCCCACAGTCCACTTAGGGAGGCCAGTCTGAGACGTCCCACGTGTTTGGATCAGGGCCCAGTAAATCGGAAAAGATCTGTGTGTGTGCGGCACTGTGCGCTGATTTCTTGTGGGCATCCATATTTTGACAGACTGCTTCGTACATGCAACCTGGGCCTGTATATCATCCTCAATCATTTAAATTTGAACTTTTAATTTATTTAATGATTTTAATCTTGATTCTTTGGTGATTGTGGTTGCTTAATACGTACCTGCTTTTTTGCAAGCTAGCCTTCTAGACATATAGTAGTATATGTGCATGAGGTAGCTCGTGCTAAAAATTGCGCCATGTGTTACAATTGTCGGATGTAGTTGCATTGCACCCTGATCCTCAAGCAGCCACACATGTTCGTGTATGTGACAAACTGATGCCACCCACGCGTGTCCAGTTTTGTAACTTCACTGATGTGGCCTTGAGTGTTTACTCCTGGCATGACCTTACCCGACTCCTCTGATTGCGAATGCCGCAGAGCCTTTCCACATTGTTCTGATCTTGTGGATGGCCATATTGTGTCTGTTGACTACAATATCATCTCCGATGATAGCCTTCACAAGCTTTTTCAAGAAGGCTCGAAGTATCGGATGAATGGGGAAACTGCCGATGTGCTCCAGGCACTGGCAATTGGACTAGACGAGTACATTGCCAATTACAAAAGGTTGTTGGCCGGACATTCTCGATCTGCTTCTTTCTCGTCTCTTTCTCAGAAGCTGAACAGCTGGCGTTCTGCAATCCTTGCGCATTGTCAATCCAATGCATCTTCGTTCTCCAATCATGTGAGCCAGCCACGTTCACTACGTTCTACACATGCCTCCTTGCACCATCTTCAACAACACTTTGCCATTGTCCTTGTGGACAAAACATCACACAATTTGGCAATATGCTGCAGGAATTGATATCTGTTTCATCTCTGTACCCATTTGGACAGTCCCACTTATACTCGTCCTCAAGAGTTCGTTACTGATGTCCTTGACCACCATGCAGTGTGGAATCACCATTGGGGTTACACCCACACTGATACCCTACCTTACCTTTACTATGTACTCAAAGCTCATAAGTCTCCTCCAGCTCTTCGCAACACTCTTGGAGTCACAGCACAAAATAACAGTGATGTTCCCCCGCGTGCTCGCCCTCGTCCAACAATTCGCACCATTCATGAACGACCTCCTCACTAACCTTTGGATAGCACAACGACTACTTCGTCGTATCTCAGCGCTGCTTTGCAAGGAGTGATCTCTACTATTCATGAGAAAGACACTGAGCTCTATCAACAGGTTGGTGTTCGACGGTGCTGGATCGTTTAGAGTGTTGATGAAGTGGCGATTGACATGAAAAACAATGCATCGTCTCTTCCTGGCCTCTCTCCTCGCACTGTTGATTTTACCACAATGTACACTAACTTTCCTCATGACCGCATTTTGAATAATGTGGCAAAAGTTGTTGATGAAGCTCATGCTTATGCCCTTCGGCAAGCTCGCACACATTCACGCTGCGTTGCCCTCAACATGGTTATTCGAGGACCTAGTTGTGGCCAATGGACAACTGATTCAGGCCCGGATACCCTTTCTGTTTCTCAGATTCTCCAACATCTTCGCTTTGTTGTACAAAACACTTTTCTATACACGAGAGATGGCACACTTCGGAAACAAATTATCAGTATTCCAACGGGAACGAATGCTGGCCCATAAATTTCTAAGTTGAAGTTGTATTGGGATGAAGCACGCTTTGTTGATGACATTCGTCAACATGATCTTCAAGCTGCTCAACAATATACCTTCACCTATCGCCTCATTGATGATGCTCTTTCATGGGGACAATTACCTCCTCCACCAGAACACTATGGGCTTGAGTGGAAGGAGATTACAACTACAGATGGCTCCTGTACCTTTTTAGGTATGCATCTACGGGTCCGTTCGATGACTCGCTTCACATAAGCGTCTTTGATAAAGCGGTCGCTTGGGACTTCCCTGTCATTCGTTATCCAAGTGCGACCTCCAACATCCCTTCCCATCAACCGGCTTGTGTGTTTAATTGCCCAGATTTGAAAAAATCTGTAACAATTGGCAGGACTTTCAAATTGTGGCAACAACACTTACTCGTCGTATGCTTTCGCGTGGGCATTCCCCACTAACCCTTGCTAAGGGGTGGACCTGCTACATGCGCTCCCGCCAACGTCGCTATCCTACACATGTGACGCGTCTCTCTCAGTGGTTCCGACGCATGTTGCGATGGTCCTTGTATCATCCAATTTCTTCTTCGCCCCCACGATGCTCTCGTCCTGCCCCTGCTTGCTCATCTGTTGCTACCGCAATTTCCACTGCTGCAGTCTCCAGTCCTACAGTCTTAACTGCTGCAGTGTCCACTTGTTATGATTCCGGTTGTCTGTTTTCTGAAGACCAACACTCACTCACATAGACTCCCAGGTATGCCCATGCATACACAGAAGGAAGGGGAGAGGATAGGAGTATCACACCACACAAGGAGAGAGAAACACAGTGGAAGACTTGACCATGTGATATGACAGGGTACACTGAAGGTGCAATTCACTCCACTCAATCCTCACAACCAGTCATAAAGGCAAGCCGAGTAGATCACATCCAATAAACATTGAAGCAATGATAGTCTGAACCCAATATCAACACTGATTATTATACTTAGAGTCTCAAATTGTCATAATAACTTCATAACTATGATGCGCTGCTCAAAGATGAGCAGCGCTTCACTCCCTAACCCTGATGAACCGCTATCACTACCCCTGAGTCCCTGAAACATCAAGCGCCACCCAGATACAACCTCCAAAGGGAAGCGTCACCCTGAAACAGGTCTCTGAGGCCAAGCCCCACTCAAAGGATGAAGAAGAAGACCAACGCTACAGTATCTGATGATGACGAAGTGTTGAAAGACTTCCTGGGTGGAAGTCTGCAGCAACTCCACCCCTCCTGACAAGATGATCTCTGAGGAAGATGCTGCAGCTATAGCTGCAGCGCCACTACCTGGAACCCCACTCCGGAGGAGGGTCCAACAGGGCACCAACTTCCCTCGCCTCCAGCAGACCTCAATAACCCAGTCCTCTGTACAGCCCCGCGTGCTGACAGAGTACAACGAAG